AAAAAAAAAAAAAAAAGAACTGTTAGACTATCAAAAATAAACAAAGTCTTTAAAAGTCAGAGAAAAATGAATAGTTCTGATAACTAGAGAGCCGAATCCAGATGTTGGGGACTTTTATGCAAAGTAGTTGGACTTTCTCTGTAAACGCTCAATAGAGTTCTCACGGTTTCCTGTCTTCTTTAATCCCATCAGAATCCCTGGCAGAGGTGATAAAGTCACGTGTATGCCTAGTAACTAAAGAAGGATGTGATGATTGGACTTGTCCCTAATGTCCTATTTTCTTTTGCTTCCTGGGTCTGGTGGAATCTCTCAGATGTTCGTGCTGCGAGAGAGCAGATGAGCATAGGAGGAGGACTTGCCTACCCCCCACTCCCGCTGCACGAGGCTCCTGCCAGGGCACCGTCAGGGTACAGCCAGCCCACATCTGTGTGTTCGTCCTCTGCGTCCTTCAACGGGCCCTTCGCAGCTGGGGTGATGTCGCCGCAGCCTCACAGCAGCTATTACAGCGGCATGACGGGCCCTCAGCATCCCTTCTACAACAGGGTGAGGAGGGGGGTTCACTCTGAAGGATTGCTCCAGGAAAGTCACAGATGTTTTCTACTTGTGGATTTCATTATAGTATTGAAACTATACTTCAGCTTTAAAATAGGAAAAATGTAAAGTATGAATATAAAATATATGTTTTTTTTTTTAAATGAAAAGAATGCTGAATTTTAAAGTTCTAGCTCTCAAGACAGGCTAAATATTATAGATGCTTCTTGCTTAAATTTATTTTCTTGATTAGAAAATGAGCATAGGATTAGCCATGATTATTCTGTGCTTCAAAGGAATCTGTTTCTCTGTGTATAAACAAATGTCTAAAAGGTGAGAAACTTAAATTCCTGCAGTAGTTCAGTAAACCTGTACTTAAGACATTTTATCTCTTAAATGTGAGATAATGGAAGATACTGCTTAGGACTCAGATGTTATTGCCAATGACAGCACCGTAGCCCATTTTTTAGGGTTTTATTTCAAGTTATTGTCAGTCTTCTATAATTATCTACTTAATATAAATAAGATATTTGTAGATGAAAAAAAGAAGCCACAATTAATTATCGATGGCGTTTAGACCCTGTCGGGTGAGGCCAAGCTGTCTATTCTCACTTTAACCATTGTAGGCACTAGTATTTCCTATAGGAAAATGGGGCAAGCATGAACCATGGTATTATCCTTTCTAGAACTCCAAGGTCCATTGCAGCTTCTTATTTTTTTTTGTCTCCCTCTTTAGTCTAATTTGAGAATGTAGGAGCATAAAAGCCAACTGCCTGCCCAGATAAATTTGATATGAGCCATGAAGAAAGAGAAGTTTAGAATAAATATGGTAAATAAAGGAATTCTAGAATGAAGTTAAATTTTCAGTTTTTGAAAAATGTTGGCCCTAGTAATTAGGTACACTGCTCACAGAGGCCTAGGAGTATATTCTGTTTTTCTGTTCAGACAGAGGTGAAGCAATGGCACTTTGCAATAAATTCCATTCTGTGACATTTAACTGTGTCTGAAGCTGGTTGCAATAAATCTCCTAGAGGTGGATTCTGCACTTGTTTTTGAAAAATCCCCTTATTTAGGGTACAAACTCTAGGGTGTGGAATAGAGGTAAACTCCAGGAACTTGGAGTGACTATTCTTGGAATCTGTGCTGCGGTGTTTTCATATAATCCAGACTTTTTTTTTTTTTGGTATTATTGAAGCTGATACTTTTTGTAAGGAATCTTGATAGTATACTAAGATTCTAGTCTGCTTAAAAAAGAGATTGTGAGTTAATATTTGTAAATCACTTAGAACCTAGCACATGATAAGCTTGTAAATATATTAAATGTAAAGAGAATTCTTATAAGGTGAAAAACTTTAGTTTTTTTTTTTTTTTAAAGAACTTATATTAAATGAAGAATATAAAATGTAAGTAATATGTTTTAAGTTTGGGTTTGCCATCTTCCAGAATATGTAGAATATGAGTAAGTCTTTTTTTCTTTTGTTTTGTCACTTGCATTACAGATTTTGGAGTTGTATATTGTTGGTTAGTTTCATTTGTAAGTCTCATTACACTTTGATTTCTGTAATTGTTTACCCCTTTTTTTTTGTTACGTGTTTTTCCATAGCCATTCTTTGCCCCATACCTTTATACGCCAAGGTATTACCCTGGCAGTTCCCACCATCTCATCTCACGTCCATCAGTAAAAACGAATTTGCCCAGAGATCAGAGCAATGGCCTAGTAAGTATATAAAAGGGTAACTAAATTATTAATCTAATAATAAACATAGATAGCATTAGAAGTTTGGGTATTTCCTAAAAGAATGCAACTTATTTTATAAATAGTTATAAGAAGCGTAAGCTATCACTAACATAAAATATATTTTTGTTGTCATTTCTGGCAAGTATCTATGGAAGAAACACAGCTAGCAATGTCAGTGGATAAATGTTGACTTGTTTACAACCAGAGACGTCTGGCTTGTGGTATAATTGTCTGTTACCAAAACTTTTAAAACTAAACCTTTATACCCACTAATTTCTAATATCGTTTTAAAGGACTATATATTATATATATAGATAGATACTTAGTATCTATATCTACCGTATATAGATACATAGTATCTATATATAATGTCAACACCATGGAATAAAAAATAAAGGATGTATTGAAAGAAGAGCATTTCAATCTAATGGCAGAAATTAAACAGGATAAGGGAAATTCTTCAAATGTACTATTGAATCTAATTAAACATTAGAGTAATTAATTAGAGTACTTAGATTAATCTAAACATTAGATTAATCTAATTCAAAACAAAAGATATTTGTGCCCAAAATATTAGGGGCTCCTGTTTAACTAACAATTTGCAAAAGAAACTCCCTATTAATGTATTTTTATACGTTAAAAGGCAAACAGTTATGGAACTTACACAGCAGTGTAAATTGTAAGCACTGACCAGGGAGACGCAGTCACGTCCTGTTTCAGTGTGTGCTTTATTCTGACATCACACTCGTGTGTCTTCGTGGTTGGGCTCATCCCTCCTCCGCCTGTGCACCCACACTCTCCATTTTGTGTTGCTAGGAAGTTATCAAGGAGGATGCTGCCGAGGGCCTTCCTTCACCCACAGACCCCTCCAGGGTAACAGAGTAGTCTCGTGGTGCGGACTGCAGCGTCTGGTTGCTTGTGCAGCGTAACGACTCTCACCGTGGTGACAGCAGCTCACTAACTCTGCCTTTGCCGTGCGGTGGGCAGCTAGTGTAGAGCTGGGCGCTAACAATTGTGGTTCATCAATTAATTCAAAAGCTAGTGCTTAACTTTACCCAGTGCTGCTTCCTGCTTTTCCCCTTTTCAGTGACACGGGGTGGGATCTCTTTTATTCTGTAAGGAAAGGATTTTCCAGCAACCATCAGGGATCTTCAGTTCACCAGCTTGTTCCCTGAGCACTGGGGTCTAGTTTTACCTCTGACTGTTTCTGTTAAACCTGTAGTTGGTATTGTTCGTGTAGAATATTTTCTAAAATATCCAACATCACCTTTGGGACTGTAGTAAGACCTTATGAGCTAGATGGTGTAGACCAAAAATGTGTCTTTAGGAGCTCTCAGTGTCCAGATTAGTGCCGTCTACCTTCCTGTGTTCATTAACATAATAAAGTTCCCAGATAAAAGCAGTCAGCATGTGAAGGGAAGTAGTTTACCTTTTATTTTTCAAACACCTTACGGTAGGTTTCTTTACTTACTGTACAAACAGACAAAATCTTGTGGAGGAAATCACTTCATAAAATATTATTCAAAGTTTTGTACTTAGTAATACAGAATACCTCACGCCCACCGACACACGGTCCATTTAAAGCTGTGCTGAAATGTGGCCTAGCAGTTAGAGCTAACATGGGGAAACATGCCGTCCTAAGTTGATCCTTAATTTTTAACTTAATACATGCATTTGGGTGGGGAGTAGCTGTTGAACTTCAGTTGCCTTTGAGTTAATATTAGTGAGTGGAAAAAACGAGAATTGTTTTGGTGCTTTCTGTGAGGGCTTGATGCATCTTTTTAAGCCGTTAACATTTTAGCCGTCATGTTTGGGTGATTTCAGTTACCCACAAACAATAGACCCGATAAACCACAGTCGTTGTGTTGGGGTGTTAGGGACTCTTTAATCTGGGATCCTCACCACTGTATGCAAGACTGACTTTTAGGTTAGCCAGAGAGCCTTTAATACAGAGATTCACGCAAGTAGTGCTGTTCTCTGAGCTGAAACCCTCAGCAACTTGTTGACGAAAATCAGATACTATGAAGAATTTGATGGCCCTTAGGACTGGGAGTGCTTCACAGCAGCCATTCACATGCTCCAGAACAGAGACAAACACTTGTCATTAAAAGATATCTGTACTTTCTTTCAGGGACCAATGAAGGGGCATTAGGCAGATTTTAAGATGAGTTTTGGGTAAGGGGAAATAATGCGAATTTTGAAATGTGTTTAGAAGCCCAACAGCGAACAGTTAGGGATACTGTATGTCTATTAATGCCCCTGTGTAGTAAAATAACCACACTGTCTACTGTTCTGTTACTGTTAAAAGATAGTTTCGTGATTAGCTTGGTGAATAATAGATGCTTGCTCAGCATCCTTTGTTTTTAAGAAATTAACAGTGACGGCAGCATGCAAACTTTGCTTTGTGGAAGACTTGTAAAGTCAGTAGACATGTGTTCAAAGCCAATCGAGAACCATGGTGGAAATGTGAAGAATCCACACATGGGAACAATGTCAAGGACTTTGTAGATGGACCAAGAGACAGTACTTGATGGAAAAGTATTTAGCCTCCTGCATGGCTCAGAGGGCTTTCCAGTTCTGTGGCAGAGACTCTGTGCTTCTGGATAGCAGGGTTGCCCATTGATTCCGTCTCTGCTCATTCAGCTGTCTCCAATACAACACTGATGCGAAGAGCTGATGATCCATAAGTCAGGAGCCGCACAAATGTTTTTAGACAAATTGTTCATGTCACTACAGACAAGGGATGAGTTTGTTTTTAAAAAAACCAGAGCACAAAGTGTTAACTAGCTACCCTCTTTTCAGAATATAGGGGTCCCATCTTTACCATAAGCAATTTCAAATAAACCTTTGTAAAGCAAAACTTTAAGAAGATATTTGCGTTTTCTCATATTAAGGAGCATTGTAGTGATTATAGCCAAGGACTTACCAGGTAAATTGTAGATACATTCAGTGTTTCATAAAAGTGAAGATTTAAAAAATATAAGCCTCCATGTAACCTTTTTTCCTCATAATTTTATAATAGAGGAAAAATATATGCCAAACTGTGAACCTGGGAAAACAGTATTATCACTAGACTCAAGACACCGCTCTCCGAAATATTAGTGCCAGTAGAAAGAACGAGTGTTTTTCACATTTTCAAAGCACAGCAGCCCACTCTTAGAAATGCAGTCTTCATCAGACCCCCAGTTTATAAACGAGTGAAAGCCCCACCTTGGACTTGCCTTCTCTCTTGCCGTCCCCAGGGAGTGCTCCTGCCACACTCTGTCCAGCTTCCACGCGCTGCCTGCGAGCTGTGGACGGCCCAGTTTGGAACTGGACTCTCTGGGTGCTGTCTCACCGTCTGCTGTCCTCACCTCGCTGCCTCCTCTGCTCCTGTGCAGATTGAGTGCGAGAGGTCTTTCATCTTCTGAGTTAGCAGACCCTGGCAGTGAGCTCTTTGCCTTGGATGGGTTACTTAACCCCTCTGCTTCTCATCTTTCTCATCTGGGAAAAGCAGACCTACCTCATAGGTCTGATTTAAGGACTACTCAGCCTGAGCATATTTTAAGTACTTTATTATTACTGCCCAAAGGCCAAAAGCCAGGAAACTTTAAAGTCTCAGAACAGGTTGGGCATGGTGGCTTACCTGATAATTCCAGCATTTGGGAGGCTAAGGTCAGAGGATCATGTAGTGAGCAATGATGGTGTCACTTACTTTGGCCCAGGTGACAAACTGAGACTCTGTCTCTTAAAAAACAAACAAAGAAACAAAAAACCCCTCAGAAATAAATTTCTTCAGGTTAAATAATGTTTGTCTTGATAGTGGAAGTAATGTACAAACACTCCAATCAGTTTAGACTAACTCAGCTTCTTTATTTGGGTGCTTCTTAGGCACTCCATAAGTGTTAATTGGTTTGTTTTCTTAGAATTTAGAAAAATTGGCTCCGCATCTGTGGCTCAAGTGGCTAAGGCACCAGCCACATACACCTAAGGTGGCGGGTTCAAATCCAGCCCGGGCCCGCCAAAACAACAATG